GGCCACACAGGAGCATGTGGGCCCTCGCGGGGCCTGCTGTGCATGTGGCTCTTTTTAACACAGTAAACTAGATTAGACGTCAGTGTTTTAATTGCCCCTCTCCTCTGCTCTCTCTCTCCCTTCTCTCTCCCCTCTCTCAGCCAGGAGACCATCACGTGTCTCCTCTTTCTCCTTCCCCCTCAGGAAGGCGGGCTGTCCGACATCCATTAGCTTCTCCCCTGTCCTACTCCTCTCCTGCTGGCCGATGGATGTATTCCGTTTTAAACAGTGAACATCGGAAATGAGACTATGGGGTGTGTTTATTTTTATTTTTGTTGGGTTTTCGAGCAACCTCATGTCCCCTTCCCAGGGAGCCTCTTTCCTTTCTCCTTAGACCTGGAAAGCGGGGGGAGGTGAGCCTGGGTACCGCATGCTTTGTCTGGCGAGGTCACACAGTGGATGCCACTGGCAGGTGAGCTTCGCGCCTCTGGGTGCTCAGCTCCCTCTTCCTCCTCAGCTCTTGTCTTCTTCCTCCCTCTCCTTCCTGCTGGCCTCCTTTTGTCTTTCTTTCCCTTTCTCAGATGATCCTTCCAGGTTTTCGTAATAAATTTATATTTTGTAAAAGGATTTTGTTGTACCAGGTTTTGCATCCTCACTGAATCTGACTGGCTCTTATTTTCCTCTCCAAAATCAGGTTTTTATTCTCAACATCTCTCCCCATCATGTCCAGTCACTGTTTTGGTTTTGGCACCATCAATATCAAATGTACAAACGGTTCTTGCTAACCAACACCAGGTATATCTGATGTTCAGATGAGTTCCAATAAAAACAATTTTTTTTTCAAAAGTGTCTTAATTCTTGAGTGCTGGAGGGCTTCCGGCGAATGCAGTCAGCTCTGTGGAGCCCTCTGACTGGCCACAGGTGCGCTGGCTCCTCTGCTCCCTGGGAGCCCCGTAGACGGGGTGCTGTGCTGAGGGCTCCGGGTAAGAGAGTTGGTCTGTGAGGCCTGAAATGGGGAATGGTGCTCAGGTAACTGTTTTCCAAGGCACTGGGGACACGGGGTTGGGTGTGTATATGTAATATCCTCTGCGCCTACTTCCTTTGCCTGATGCGGATGGCGTTTCCGTGGTGGGTAACTGGTTTGAGGGTTCTATGAAGTCATGGAAATGCAAGTGCCCGGAGAGGCCTGACACTCGTGGTTTCGTTTCCATTCAAGAGCGGTGATTGTCTCACACATTCAGACCTGGCGATGGTCCTGAGGGCTTGGGCCCTGGGAGGGAGGGGAGCTCTAGCTGCCAACTCTGCTTCCGTGTGAGCAATGGCTCTTCTCAATTTCCAGTGTTGTGTCTCTAGTTTTACTTGCAGGAAGAGTTTTGCTTCAATAAAGAACTTTAAAAAGAGATTCCAAAGGTATCTTCAGAGCTGGAGCATAGGGGAGGGTTTCCCATGCTTCGGGGCAGCCCCGACTGGCAGCAGCCTGTCCCCTGCCCCCTTTGCAGGTCACGTCAAGGGACCACGTGCCACGTGGCTGTGGAGCTCCTGAAACGGGGCTGGTCTGAGTTGCCATGCACTCACTGCACATGTAAACCAAGCCTGGCTTTGAAGACGAAGCATGAAAAGAATGTAAAATAGCTCAACCTTTTTATATGCTGGAATATTTTGAGCATTATTGGGTAAATAAAATATATTATTGAAATTCACCCGTTTCTTTCTACTCTTTTAATATGGCTATTAGAAAATGACCTATGTGGCTTGCATTTGTGGCTTGTGTTACATTTGTGTGTGGACAGTGCTGCTCTAGACTCTGCTTCCCATCCAGCCTCAAATCAGCTGCATCTCGGCACAGCTGAGAGGGTGGCCTGGGCCGGCTCGCTCACCTGGGACCCTTCCCGGCACCAGCCTTCCTGGTGCCAGGCTTGCTTGTGTGAATGAGATCTGATGGTGCTGGCAGCAAAGGCTGAGCGAGGCCTGACTCCAGCAGGCGATGCCGGTTATGTAACCTGTGTTGCCCAGAAGGGCCACTAGGGGCTGCTGTGAGATCCCTGGAAGAACAAAGCCACTTCCTCAGAGGTAGCCGGCTTTATTCGGAGCCTCTGGAAGCCAGCCGGCTAGGTCCTTGGCCTCCCTAGGGGCGATACGAGAAAGGGGCATGTGGAGGGCAGGGACTCTCCTGTGACACCCGGCAGCCCAGCTCAGCGGTGCAGGTGCCAAGCAGGCCGGCCCTGCGGCAGGGCCGCTAGAGATAGGCTATAGGACAAATGGGCTGATTGGTGGGGGTGGGATTTGGAGATCTTCCCTGCAGTTCTCTGGAAGAAAGCTCCGCATCATTCAGCTGGGTCTGCCATTTCTGGCAAATCACTGCCCTTCCTTCCTTACCTCGCGGTTGGAGCGGTGACGGAAGCTTGGTGGTGGAGGTGGGTTGAGTGAGCAGCGGAACGGTGTGCCTTGAGGGAGGCAGAGCTTGACTGGACGGGCTCCGGGCAGCCTCTCCCCTCAGTCACAAGAGCAGGTGGGCTGGCGACACTATACCATTCATGCTGTGCCTGCTGCAAATATGACTCTGTCTTTCGACAAGTGGGAGGAGGCTGGGGTCATACTGCCAGGGGCTCTTTTTGAAGGTGCTGGACAAAGGCAAAAGGACGGAGTGTGGCCAGGCTGGAAACGGGCCAGGCAAATGCATGCTTCCTTGGTTTGGAAAAGGGAGTGGGGGGGAGCTCGGTACTGCCACCATTAACTGGAACCGCTAGAATTAAATCTGTAGAGACAGGTAACAGAGTGGATCCTGATGGGTCTAAGGGGGGGGGTTACAGCCTTATAATTCTGGCATCTTTTGGGAAACGAGAACCATTTAACCTTTGCTTCACACCGGAATCTGAAGGGAACCCAACATACAGAAAAGGCAGTGTGGACGTGGGCTACCTCGGTTTCTTCCTGAGGGTGGAGGTGACCAGGCTGGTCCAGCTTCGGGTGAGTCACTGGGGAGAGTCAGTGCCAGAGGACCGGAAGCTTGTCTGAGAGCTTCTGACTATTGAAGAGGGTTGAAGAGACTTCCATTGGAAAAGCAGGTGGGAGTTGTGCACTGGGACATTTAGAGGGAGGGGCACATGGAGCTAAGGGCCTGCTTTCAGCCTAAGCTAAGCTGGCAGCTTCCGTGGATGTCTCTGAAGGGCTATGGGAGAAGTAGCCCTCGGCACACAGCAAGGCATTTTCTGCTGTAGAGTCGTCATGCTCCGTAAGCATTCAATTGCCACCATTGAGAGAGGTCTCTGGGTAGCACATAGCGAATTCCAGTACTTTCTGATGCAGCATTGTTCTAAAGGATGCCAGATTTCTGTCCTGCTTAAGGCAGCCGTTAGGGCTGGCGCAGGTGGACAGCCTGGTGTGCTGGCCGTCAGGGAACTGGATATCCTTTCTGTAAGGCCGCTTCCCCATCACTGGGTCCAGAGGTGATAATTTGAATAAGATATGTCTCCCAGGTTTGTGGTCAAATCTAAATCAGTCTCCAGAACCAAACTATAAGAGAACAAAGAAAGGATCTGGATTCTTGCCTGTGAAGGTAACAGTTCGTATTAGAACCAGAATTTCATTCAGGATTAAATTTTTTTACCTTCACCAAATCTTCAGATTATGATCAGAGGCTGGTCGGAGAAGTAGCTGCTTCTGTTTTTACTGTGAGAGTTAAGGGGGCGGGGAAGTTCGAGGTCACATATGTGATGGGCTTAGTATTGGCTCATCTTTGGGGCAAGGGCCAAGCCAGCGGCCTCGGGGACCTGCCACAGGTGTGGTGTGGAACAGCCTGGAGCTGCCTACACCTCCTCAGCCCGAATTTCTCAAAAGACCCGCTCGGGCCGTGAGCATGTACCTGGGGTGACCGAACAGAGGTCCCGAAGGGAAGGAAATGAAAGCAGCGGGCAGTCCGCTTGGGATGCGCGTGGCACTCAGGCGGCCTCTGCCACGGCTTCGCGTTCCTCCCACATCCTTTCCCGGGGAAGGAGGGTGTTACATGGAAGGAGGGAGCTCGGGGCCCCGGCCTCCGAGGACGGCTTCTCGTGCGGCTCGGGTGGCAGCCTCCCTCCGCCAGGGCAGGCCCCAGGTCGCCAGGGCGGAGACGAGGCGGGGAGCGTCCCCAAGGCCCGCAGCTGCCGGCGCCGCGGCGGGAACAAAGGCAGCACGTGTCTGGGCGGCGCGGCGGGCGGGTCCGTCCTCGCCCCACCCCGTCCGCCCCGCCCGCCGCTTCCCCGGCCGAGCTCGGCTGCTCGGAGCGCCGGGACTCGGGCGGCTGCTGCTCCTGCTGCTAGCACGGCGGGCGGCGCGGGGCGGGCGGGAGCTGTGCGGGAGGGGACGCCCCGGGGCGGGCGGTGCCGGCGCTGCGAGTCCCGCCGCCGCCGCCGAGTCCGCGTCCTCGCCGGGCGCGGTGAGCGGAGGCGCCTCGGGTTCGCGGCCGCGGCCCCGCCGGCCCCGCGCGCCGCTGGTGCTGAGGACGCGGCGGCGGCTCCCGGGCAACACCGGCCGCACCGCGCCGGCGCGGGAGCGCGCGCTCTCGAGGGGAGACGGCGGCGGCGCGCGGGCGGGCGCGCGGCGGCGAGGAGGGCGGGGCCGCGGCTGCAGAACCTTGGACAGAAGCTCCGGAGCCGCCGCCGCCGAGCGCGAGCCCCGCCGAGCCCCGCCGGGCGCAGCGCCGGGACCGACCGCGGCGCGCAGTGCGGAGGGCGCGGAGCGAGGAGCCGCCGCCCGCGGGTAAGCCTGCGCTCCGCCCGGGGGCCGGGGCCGGGGCTGCGCGCGGGGTCGAGGCGGGGTCCCCTCCGCGGCGGCATCTGGAGCGCGGGGCCGCGGCGGGCGGGGTGCCGCAGTGGAGGCGGCCGGGCTGCGGCGCGGGCGGGGCCGCGGGGCCGCGGGCGGCTGTGGTGGGGCCGGGGGTCGGGAGCCGCGAGGCAGGGGCGGCGGAGCGCCGGGTGCTGAGAACCATCTTGTTTTCCACGCAGATCCATCCGCAGGGCAGCTGCGCCCCCGGGAGCGCCCCCGCCTCCTCCCCGGGGCGCGGTGAGCTGATCCCCGCGGCCGGCGGTCCGGGCGCGCGGCGGCGGCACCATGGGCACCGTGCTGTCCCTGTCCCCCAGCTACCGCAAGGCCACGCTGTTCGAGGATGGCGCGGCCACGGTGGGCCACTACACGGCCGTGCAGAACAGCAAGAACGCCAAGGACAAGAGCCTGAAGCGGCACTCCCTCATCTCCGTGCTGCCCTGGAAGAGGATCGTGGCCGTGTCGGCCAAGAAGAAGAACTCCAAGAAGGTGCAGCCCAACGGCAACTACCAGAACAACATCACGCACCTCAACAATGAGAACCTGAAGAAGTCGCTGTCGTGTGCCAACCTGTCCACCTTCGCGCAGCCCCCGCCGGCCCAGCCGCCCGCGCCCCCCGCCAGCCAGCTCTCGGGCTCGCAGACCGGGCTCTCCTCCTCCTCCTCGGTCAAGAAGGCCCCGCACCCCCCCGCCGTCACCTCCGCGGGGACCCCCAAGCGGGTCATCGTCCAGGCGTCCACCAGCGAGCTGCTGCGCTGCCTGGGCGAGTTCCTGTGCCGCCGGTGCTACCGCCTCAAGCACCTGTCCCCCACGGACCCCGTGCTCTGGCTGCGCAGCGTGGACCGCTCGCTGCTCCTGCAGGGCTGGCAGGACCAGGGCTTCATCACGCCGGCCAACGTGGTCTTCCTCTACATGCTCTGCAGGGACGTCATCTCCTCCGAGGTGGGCTCGGACCACGAGCTCCAGGCCGTGCTGCTCACCTGCCTGTACCTCTCCTACTCCTACATGGGCAACGAGATCTCCTACCCGCTCAAGCCCTTCCTGGTGGAGAGCTGCAAGGAGGCCTTCTGGGACCGCTGCCTCTCCGTCATCAACCTCATGAGCGCCAAGATGCTGCAGATCAACGCCGACCCGCACTACTTCACGCAGGTGTTCTCCGACCTGAAGAACGAGAGCGGCCAGGAGGACAAGAAGCGGCTGCTCCTCGGCCTGGACCGGTGAGCCTCGGGGCGTGACCGCGCCGCGCCTCCAGGGTTCAATCCCGTTTTTAAAAGATTTATTATTAAACACGTCAGATTTCATGTACAGTGTGTGTCTAGCAAAGCCACCGAGGGCCGGTCCCGGCCCACCGTCGTCAGCCCCGCCGGGAACTCTGGGCGCCTTGGAGCTCCTGCTGGACCCTGTGCAAAGCCCGGAAGAAGATGTATTCAGAGCCACCCGGGTCCCCGGCCTCCGACTTTGGGGGGATTCCAAGGACTGACTCGCCTCTGTCGCCTGCGCCCTTGCGGGACCTGGGCAGGCGAGGCTGGCGGGAGCTGGCGAGCGGCCTCTGGCCCGCCGACCCAGGGAGCATGTGGCGCCTCTAAGTTGGGGGGGCCCTTTTCTCGCTCCTGTTTTGGGTGGTCCGTCCTCCCAGAGGCCCCTGGGGCAGCCATCCTGATGGAACCGCACGTGGGGTTGCGAGGCAAGCTGTGCCTCTTCCGTCTCGGAGAAGCCAGCCCGGTGCAAAGGTTGTGTCCCGTGGTTTGGGCCGTGCACAACCCTCGTTCGCTCTTTTTCTTTTTTAGGGAGAAGGGCTTTCTTTGCTTTCGTGGAGACACGGAGCTTGCTCCTCAGCCCCCACCCCCCCTTGTCCCCTGCTCCCGGCCATGCAGGCAGCACTGGTTCACGGGCCGGTTTGACTCATGAGATTCTGTGATTTTGGGCCCAGACCACCCGCCCGCCTCTGGGCAGGTGGGGTGCCAGGCCGAGACCAAGCCAGAGCCCCCCTGAGGGCTGAGGCCTCTGCTTGCCGGTGCACAGGCCGTTCTGCAGAGCTGGGGCGTGGGGGCTGGTCACGGTGTGCTCCCACCCCCCGCTCCCACCCCTTTTCCTTTGAGGCTGTTCCCAGGCAGTTGGGTTTCTCCTGAAGACGGAGCCGCGCCCCGCAGGGCCCGGGGAGACAGCTGGATCTCAGAGACAATGACAGGCCGGGGTAGCACTCCCGGTCGCTTTGTGCGCCTGTGGACTCTACAGCCGATGGCTCGCAGCTGCTGCTGGCTTTGGCTCCCACGTGCGTGGCTGTAAAACACACAGGCTATGTACTTAATCCATTTTCTTTCCAATTCTCCCAGATTGGTGGCTTGGGACGGGAGAGGACCAAGAGAAGGGACCGAGTCTTCCTCCATGGCCCGTCACCCTGGCTTTGGGGAACAAAGAGCAGTGTGGAGGCCCCAGAGAATTCGCTCCTCCCAGCGCCTCAGGGAGCGCTGGAATGGGGGAGAGGTTTGTGGGGGGGGGAGGGGCGAGGCTCGTGTCCCATAGGACTAGGTCCCAGGTGGCTGCCATCTCAGCACAAGCACTACTGAAAATCCCGTTAAAGAGAGCAAGCTGTGAAATTGAGGTCCGGCCTTAAGAGCCCGCGGCCCCGGCCAGCCCTCCGAGGGCCCGCCCTGCGGAGAGCATTGGCCCCAGCTGCGCCCGAGGCCCACGCCCGGCCCAGCCGGCCCTCCGGGGCCTCGGGAGGAGCTGATGCTGCGGCCGTGGGCACAGACCTCCGTCAACGCTTCTTTCTTCTCGGCCGGAGGTGTCGCCGGCCTTTCTGCGCAGACCCCGCTGCCACGTGTGAGCTGAGGTAGGCGGCCCGGCGGGCGGCGGGCCAGGGGCACGGAAGAGGGTGGTTCGATGCGGCGTCTCCAGAAGGAGGGGCCCGTGTTTGCGGTCGCTCTTCGGGCCGGCCGCTGGCCGAACCCGGCCTGAGACTGTGCTGTCACACCCACAGGATCCCCGTTTTGCGCGTTTCCTTCTCTCTCTCCGTATTTATTTATTTTGACGTTCTGGAGGAGGCGCGGAGCTCAGGAGCGGCTGGGGACTAAGGACATGACTCTGGCTCCTTCCGTGCGAACGCCTGGCGCCCTCCTCCCCCCCGCACTGGCCATCAGTATTGTGTAAAGGAACCGGTACACGCGAGTGTGCAAGCAGTGAGCCCGTTTGACATGCTGACATGCTGCTATGAAGACTACTTTTAGAACAACATAAAAACAAAAACAAAAACAAAAAAAACAGAAAAAAAACTAACGGACAAAAAAAACAACCACCACCACCCCTTTATTCTTTCATTGTTGCTTTTCCAGTGATATTGTGCATGCCGACCAGGAGCATTTTTGTGTCTTAAGAAAAATAATCTTAGAACAGATGGCTGTGAAATTTACACCCGTGCACAGAACAAGTCACAGGGATAACGGTTCAGGATTTGTTTTTTTTCTCTTTCTCTTGTAAAGCTCTGAAGGGTTGATATATTCTTTCCATGCAGTTATTAGGAGTTAGTTGCGTTCCAACAGTTGTTACACTTGCAATGAAAAGAAAAACGTGCCATTTTTTTTTTCCCCACTCGGAATCTTTTCATAGCTGTATATTTGAAACTGCTAACTACGCGACGTGCGATGTATGTTGGTTTTTTTTTTTTAGTGCAATTTTCTTCTGTAGCTATCCTTTGACCAAACTGTGGGTATTGTTGATATTAATTTATATTTGTCTCATTTTGTATGTATGTGTAGTGTGTTTGTAAGTATGTGTGGTTTATAACCTGACAAGGTCATGAAGCTCAGTTTGGCTGTAATTTAATTCCCCTCCCCTTATTTTTATTTATTTTTGTACCGTGCTGATGAAATAAAATGCACTGACCATCCATTACAGAGACCTCTTTCGTGAGCACATCAGTCATGAGCAGGCCAGGCGGCTTTTTATAAACGATTCCTGCACTCGGAATATAATTGGATTTGTGTTGTGGGAGAGGAAGGGGCTGGGTTAGGGGAGAGGCTTAAGCAGCCGAGCACGTGGCCGGTAAGGTGATTAGAAGGAAGCACAGGTTAAGTCCACTCGGGTGCAGCTGCTGAGCGGGGCGGGGCAGCTCCCTTGGCTTGGTCAGGCCCAGGCCCGGCCTGGGGACCGCTGGCTGCGTGGTCCTGCAGGGGCCCAGGTGTGGAGCTTGGCTCCAAGGCTGCAGCCCCATGTGTTGTGGGCCTGGCTCTGTTCAGCACCCACTCACTGCCCAGAGGCACCCAGGCCAGTGGGAGGAGTGGTGTCCACGTGGCCCAGCCTTGGGGCTTCCCATGAGCCCGAAATTGTGCCGGGGTGAGTCCCCTCTGCTTGGACAGGCACACCTCGGAGGTACTGTGGTTTGGTCCCAGACCACCATCCATCAAGGGAGCGTTGCAGTAAAGTGAGCCGTCATCTTTTTGCTGGTGGAGGGTCTTGCCTCCCGTTTGTTAAAAATGCAGCATCTGCCGAAACCGGTTTGGCTCAGTGGACAGAGCATTGGCCTTCGAACTGAAGGGTCCCGGGTTCCATTCTGGTCAAGGGCATGTGCCTTGGTTATGGGCACATCCCCAATGGGGGGTGTGCAGGAGACAGCTGATCGATGATTCTCTCTCATCAATGTTTCTGACTCTCTTCCTCTCTATAAAAAAATCAATAAAATATATATTTTAAAAACAGCATCTGTGCCGAAACCGGTTTGGCTCAGTGGTAGAGCGTTGGTCTGCGGACTGAAAGGTCCCGGGTTCGATTCTGGTCAAGGGCATGTACCTTGGTTGCGGGCACATCCCCGGTAGGGGGTGTGCAAGAGGCAGCTGGTCGACGTTTCTCTCTTATCGACGTTTCTAGTTCTCTATCTCTCTCCCTTCCTCCCTGTAAAAAAATCAATAAAATATATTAAAAACAAACAAACACACACAGCATCTGTGAGCATGATAAAGCATGCGCAATAAAACGATGGAGGCCTGTGTTGCCAGTGGTCTCTGTCCACTCATGCTCCCAGCTCAAGCCTCCCATGGGGACCAGGGGGTGGGCCTGTCCTGTCCAGGCCCTGCCTGCACCTGTGGTTTGCAGCTGCCCCTGGGCACCAGGAAGGCTGTTCTGCTCAGGTTGCAACTTGAGGGGGTGTCAGCCTCATGGTGAGGGCCACTGGCTTTCCCGAGTGCGTCCCCCGGGGCCTGCACCCCGTGTTCTTTTCTGTGATGACGGGGTGGCCTCCTGTGGCTGCAGGGCCTGTGGGTGCTCGGGCCTGCAGCTGCCCCTACTCTGAGAAGTCCTGGTTTCTCTCACCTGTCATCCTGCCACCCCAGCCAGCCAGCCTGGGACCCCTCCCCAGGCTGCAGCCTTAAGAACCGGAGCCCTTCCTGCATCAATGTGTGCTTCCGTTTCAGTAAAAATACACTGATTGCACTGAAGGAAATCCAAAGCATTAAACCTGGAGCCAGCCCTCAGGCCTCAAAATGGTGCAAGAAAGTGGATTGAACTCCACTGCCTTCTCCCCATTATTTCCGCTGCTTTCTTCTCACCATGATATATATATATATAAACACACACACACTAGATGGGGGGTGTTCCTCAGCCCAGCCTGCACCCTCTCCAATCTGGCACCCCTCGAAGGATGTCCTATTGCTGGTTTACAGGGATCGGGCCTAAATCAGCAGTTGGACATCCCTTTCACAATCCTGAACTGCTGGCTCCAGCCACTCACCTGCCTGCCTGCCTGCCTGATTGCCCCTAACCACTCTGCCTGCTGGCCTGCTCCTCCACAACTGTTCTCCCCCCCCTCCCCTACTAGCCTGATCACCCCTAGTTTCCCCTGTGCTGGCCTGCTCACCCCCATCTTCCCTCCCCACTGGCCTGCTCACCCCCAACTCCCTGCCTCCCCTAACCCCCACCTCACTGACATGCTCACTTCAAACTGCCCCCTTCACCGTCCCAATGACCGCCACTGACGGCCTGCTCATCCCCAAAGGCCTCTGCTGTTCCATCCTGGCCTGATCACCTCCAAGGTCCCAGCCCCTCCTTTTTTTCTTTTTTTTCATGCCTCCTTGAGTGGAGGCCAGGGCCAGCTGGAAGCAAGTATCCAAGATTTAGTTATCTTCTATAATTGAAACTTTGTAGCTTTGAGCAGAGGCCAGAGCCTGCCAGGGCAGGCGGGAAGCTTGGCTTCCTCCATTGCCAGGACAACCCAAGCCTCTTGCTTGCTCCAGCTCCGTGGCCGGCCGCCATCTTGGTTGGATTAATTTGCATACTTGCTCCTGATGGTGGTGTGGCTTGGCTAGTAGAGTGATGGTTAATTTGCATGTTTCTCTTTTATTAGTGTAGATAGATATTAGAGACCCGGTGCATGAATTTGTGTATGGTTGGGGTGTGGCCAGCCTGGCCAGGGGAAGGGGACATGGGTGGTTGGCTGGCCTGCCTGCTGGTCAAACTCCTGATCGAGGGGACAATTTACATATCAGCCTTTTATTATATAGGGTATAAACTGAGTGGCCAGATTATTATTATTTTTGCCTTCATTAAATAGGGAGTATAGGATTAGTGGTTAAGCATTCAGGCACAATAAGCAGACTTTTTGAGTTCAAACCTATTCTTCCACTTATTAGAGGATTTGAATTACTTGTTGCCAAGTTGCCCTGCACCTTGACTTTCTCGTTTGTTAAATGGGCTGATGTGAACAGTACTTCCCTCCTAGGGCTATTTTTAAAAAATATATTGTATTGATTTTTCACAGAGAGGGAAAGAGAGGGATAGAGTCAGAAACATTGATGAGAGAGAAACATCGATTAGCTGCCTCTTTCACACACCCTACCTGGGATGTGCCTGCAACCAAGGTACATGCCCTTGACGGGAATCGAACCTGGGACCCGAAGGCCGACACTTTATCCACTGAACCAAACCAGTCTTGGCCCTCCTCAGGCTATTTTTAGTGGCCAGATTATTATGCGTTCAGAGATCATAATAACCTGGCCATATATACATACATACATACACATACATACATACACATATATACATTCATTATTGTTAAAAGTATTACATTATCCCCCAATGATCTCTTCCAGCCCCCCTGCCTCCTAGGCCTTCCCCACCCTATGTCTGGGTCAATGGGTTGTGCATATATGCACACAAGGTCTTCGGTTGATCTCTTCCCACCTTCCCTGTGAGATTCCTCAGTCTGATCCCTGCTCCCATGTCTCTGGATCTATTTTGTTCATCAGACTCCACATGTGAGTGAGGTCATGTGATACTTGTCTTTCTCCGCCTGGCTTATCTGGCTTTGCCTGATCCTCTCCAGGCCCTCCATGCTGCTTTGGAGGGTGAGAAAGGTGTGTGCGTGCAGAAGCTCAGGGGCGTGGCCCTGCGTCTGTGCTGGGTAACGGCGGGCTCCGTGGAAGCGGGAAGTTCACAATCACAGGTGGACTTTCCAATGACAGAGAAGCAGAACATCTTTAAGAATTAAGATTTAACGCTTTATTGCTCTGGATGGTAAATCAAAATATGCTTTAGAAATAGAGTTAATTTAATGGGAAGTAGGAATATATGCACCAAACCATACATTGCATTGAATTAAATCAAGAGAAACACTTCATTGCGTACAATCACTGTGTCCTGCCTCCCTCTCGGCACCCGGGAAGACCACCCTGGTCTCGCCCTACATTCCTGGTCCTCCTTCAGTCCCACACGGGCTTCTCTTGGAACACGATGGGGTGCCCGTGACGCCCTCGGCCTCGAGGCCCTCGGCCCAGAGGCCGGGGCTGGGCTGAGGCTCCGGCCAGGCAGAGGCGGAGGGAGACCGCCAGCCCTTTGGTTTCCCCCCCCACCGGCCTCTGAAAGGCACGCGTTTGGCAGGTTCCACTTGGTGTGTCTGACAGACACTACGTGTCTCCTTAGGAAGCGACGGGTCGGGGAATAAGCGAGTGGAGGCAGCGGTCTATTTGGGTGGTTCAGCGAGTGGCCAGGCGCTTGGCAAAACGACGCGTGGCTGACCCAGCGGTGGCCCTCGGGGCGGGCAGCTGGCCGGGCTCCGGGAGGGAGAGGGGCTTCCGAGGCCCGGATGCCCGTGGTCTTCACTCCGAACGGTGCCCGGTGCCGCTGTCCGCCAGCCCTGCCAGCCGGCGGGGTGAGGCGAGACCAGGCCGCTGGGACCCCCGGGGGGCCCACCAGGGGACCGTGTCGAGCCGGAGGCACAGGAGTCCGCCCCCAGGCACTCGGGGCGCTGTGCGGGGTCAGGGGGACGGGACGGTGCAGGGGTGGGGAGCAGGGAGCAGCATGTGCGTCACACCCTGCCAGGCTCCCCCAGGCCTGGGCTCAGCCTCAGCCTCAGCCCCTTCACCGGGTGCCCCGAGTCCCCTTCCACGGCTCCAGGAGGGCTGGTCTCGGGCAGACATCTGCAGGCATGTGTGTGGGGGCACAGGCGGGCAGGATGGCGCTGCTCTCCCGGCCGGAGGTCTGTGTGCCCGGTGGGCATTCTGCCTGCAGAGCGGGGACTCTGTGTCTTCTGTCTCCCCGGCCCCCAGGGGTCCCGTGTGCTCTGGCCCTCCTGCTCCGGGCCTGGCTCTCCGGGAGTATGAAGGGGCCCATGAGTGCCCCCAGCCCCTGCGACGCCATCTGACTAGTGTTCCTGACACGGGCATGGGCTCCGCGGGCACAGGATCTGAGGAGCAGCCTTCGAACTGCGTGTGAGGCACCCACGGCATCGGCGCTGGAGAGGGTCCTGGGAGCACCCCGCTCTGCAGAGGGGGGGGCTGGTCGGGGCAGGCGGGCAGGCCGGCTGCCAGGGGAATGGCTGTCCTGCCAGCACCGCTCCTGGGCCGCGGGGCCGGGCCTACTGGTGAACCTGCTCACCTGGTGGCTTTGGCTGCTGCCGGGAGGAC